CCCCCAATCCCAGCCCCTTCCCCCAATCCCAGCCCCCACAGTCCCAACCCAACTCTAACCCAGTCCCCTTTCCCCCAATCCCAGCCCCCAGCAGTCCTACCCCCTAACCCTGCCCCCGAGCAGCCCCTTCCCCCAGGGAGACCCTGCCCCCCTCAACGCAATTTAACCCCGCCCCCTTCCTACCCAGCAGCTTCTCCCCCGCCAGCCGAATCCCTCCTCGCACATGCGCAGAGGCCGTCACCCGCCTTTCCTCTCCCGCGCCTGCGCACGGAGCGTCCCTGCCCCTCTCCCCTCCCCCTATCTTGTGCAGGGGGGCTGCGGACGCGAGTCATGATGGCGGCGGCCAGGCTGTGAGCCGCGAGAGCCTTTCCCCCGCACGCCCGCCCGCACGCGCGCCCCCGCGCCTCTCCCGACTCCCCCTCCCCCCCCTCCCACGCGCGCCGAGCGGAGTGAGCGGCCCCGGGGGCCGAGGCGGCGCGAGCGGGTCCGGGAGGCGCAGGCCGCGAGCGCGGGGCGGCCGAGCTCCGGGGCGGCGCCCTCGCCATGCAGATCACCCTGAAAACCCTGCAGCAGCAGACCTTCAAGATCGACATCGACCCCGAGGAGACGGTGCGCGGCCGGGCCGGGGAGGCGGCGGTCGCGCTCCCGGTGGGCGGGCGGGCGCCAGGCCCCTCACGGCGGGCGGGCGGGCGAGTAGGCCCCTTTGGGGAAGAGGGGGGAGGCTGTGGGGAATGGGGGTGCGGGGGTGGGCAGGCCGGGGATGGGGGCTGTGGGGGTGGCTAGCAGCTGCCCCCGTTTGTGAATAGGGGTGACCCTTTTGCAGGGCGGGCGTGTCTGGGGGTGGCGTTAGGGTGACTGGTGCGTCTCTGCTGGGTGAGGCCTGTGTGTGTCTGCTGGGCTCGGTGCCTGTGGGGAGACTTCATTGCCTGCCCTGGGGGGCGGGTTGTAGTGGCTGCACGTCTCTCTTGGGAAGTTTGTGTATGTGGGGGGGGGGGTGGCTGTGCTGGGTGTGAATTGAGACCCTGCTTCCCGTAGCAGAAGCTTGTGTGGGGGGGTGGGGGGGGATGATTCTAGTGGTTCCTTTAGAGTTTCAGTGGCTGCTCTGTAGTGGGGGTGCATGTGTGGGGTGACTCTATTGACAGTCCCAGTGAGTGCTGGGGGACGGGTGCTACTGCAAAGTCCAGTGGGCCTGATGTAGGCGCATTGATATTAAAGGGGGGGGGGAAGTGTGTGTGTGTAACTAAAATGAGGGTTAGGTACTTAAACTCTCTCCAACCTTGGAAGTGCACTACCTTGCCTTTTAAACTTAGAGAAGAGTGTGGGTGCAACCTCTTACAGCTAGTTTTCCCCATGTTACACCCATACCTACTGCCATCTTCTAACACCCCACTGGGATTTCAGTGGATCTTCCCCAGGCCTTGACCATTAGGGCTGGGTAACGAAACCACGGAAAGACCTCTGTGCCTCACTATTTCCCTAGGTCTGATTGTTTAAACACCCCTCCCTCCACACGAAAAAGAAAAGATAATTGAGTGTTGTGAAGGGTAGCTGCAGCTTGCTCACAGGGGTGCTTGGGTCTAGACAAGTTGGCTGAGAGAGATTGTGAATGTCTAATTGAAATCTACCCAGCGGAGTCCTTCACAGGCTTAAAACACTAGCCTTTATAATTAATCCCTACCCAGGGAGCCGCTTTCTCTCCTCTTATTTCCCTTCTCCCCTGTTCATCATATTGAGTGAATTGGAGCAGTTCTGAGGTCCTAGGAAACCTCAGCAAAAGGAGAGGATTAGAGGGGGAGGTTTGCCAGCCACACAAGCTGTGCATGTGAGACTGCAAAAAGTATTGGCTAGGTTGGGGTGGGGAACCTTTTTTTCTATCGGGGCACTGACCCACATAAAAAATCAGTTGCGGGTCACACAGCCCCGTAGGGGGGCGCAGAGGCTCGGGGCTTCCCCTAGGCTCCGGGTTAGGGCCAGATATGAGGGTTTCAGGGTGTGGGACAGGGCTCCAGGCTGGGACAGGGGTTGGGTGTGGGAGGGATGAGGGCTTCGACTGGCGGGTGCAGGCTCTGGGGTGGGGCTGGGGATGAGGGGTTTGGGATGTAGGAGGGGGCTCTGGGCTGGGGCCAAGGGGTTTGCAGTGCGGGAGCAGGCTCAGGGCTGGGGCAGGGAGTTGGGGTGTGGGTTCCGGGAGGGAGTTTGGTTGTGGGAGGGGGCTCAGGGCTGGGGCAGCGGGTTGGGGTGCAGGAGGAGGTTCAGAGTGTGGGCTCCGGGAAGGTGTTAGTGTGTGGGAGGGGGTTCTGACCTGGGGCAGGGGGTTTGGGGTGTGGGCTCCAGCCAGGTGGCGCTTACCTCAGATGGCTCCCAGTTGGTGGCACAGCAGGGCTAAGGCAGGCTCCATGCTGCTGCAGAAGCGGCCGCCAATGTCCGACCCTTAGACGGAGGCGCAGCCAGGTGGCTGTGTGTGCTGCCCGCAGGTGTCGTCCCTGCAGCTCCCATTGGCCATCGTTCCTGGCCAGTGGGAGCTCTGGAGCTGGCGACAGCGTGCTGATGGCCTCTAGGAGCAGGGGCAGCGGGGACATGCTGGTAGCTTCTGGGAGCTGTGCAGAGCCCACCAGACTTTTAATGGCCTGGCAACCCCAGCTTCCGCCCCACAGTGGGGTGAGCTGGCGCTCACGGCTCCTGCCCCATGGAATGGGGGAGGCGCCGAGGCTCAGGGCTTCTGGCCCGTTGCGCAGAAAGTTGCCACACGCCAGTTAAAATGAAGCAGTCGACCAGATCCTGCCCACGTGCTGTAGGTTCCCCACCCCTGGGCTAGGTGTTGGAGGAGGGGGAAGTAGAATGGTTTCTCCAATTAACAAACATTGGATCGCTGCATAAGTGTAACTGAGCAAAGAACTTGCTCCAGTAGATATGGGACTTTGTATACACACAATGATTCAGTAGAATTATGGCTAAAAATATGACAAGATTTTTTTGGATATCTTATGTCAAATTATTTATCATGAAACCATGATCTTGGTAACTCTGCAGCAATAGGGTTGGAGTATTAAAACTAGCAAATTCAGTAGAAACTTGTTGGAAAAAGTATGCCAAACATTAGAACAGTTGATGGTACAGTTGTAATGCCAACTTTATAAAAAAAACCATGCTCATGAGGCCTGTGTTAAAAAAGCAAAATCTGTTTAAATCACCAAATCCTTTAAAACAGCCTTGTTAATAATTTTGGTTTCAAAGCTGTTTTATTGTTGGATGTTCCTTTTCAGTCTAATTTTGAAAATGGCCCTTTATAGCACTAAGTGTACTAGAGCCCAAACCAAATGTTAGACTTGTGTTGAATCAAAATGTGTTAACTCCTGGGAGCTTTTGAAATATTACATTTAGTCAATTCACTGTTTCCATGTGCTCAATGCTAAAGGTAGGTTTGATTACTTGGAGCACTGCCCTGTACTGTGACATGGCCAAAATTATCTAGTTAAGACAGGCTCAGGAAACTTATGTTTTAAACCTCCTACTATTCTAGCAATTTATGGCCACTTCTTTAACTTTGTTTATACAAGTCAAGCTTAAAAGAACAAACAAACAAAAACTGATGTTGAGTGCAAAGTAAGAAACACTACAGATTGTCATTAGAAGTATTCAACCATCAGAAGTCTGGAAAATATTTAAGTATACTTTCCACTCAGAACATGAAACAACACAATTTATATTTTATATTAAAATAACCCCAAATTCAGTAACAATTTCAGCATTTTGCATAAAATTCTGACAATATCTCCCTTATAAAAGAACAGGCTCACATAACCAAGTGATTGAGTGTTGTTGCTATGGTCCTGAGTTAGATGTTGGTGGTACTTTTTTTTTTAAAGTACTAGCATGGTCTGAACTTGCACTTTCTAATTACTAGACTTGAAGCAGGACCTGTGTTGTGTCCATGGAGGTACACTTCTGAATTTATCAGGTAGAAACTATAGAAAATCTCATCTGGTATAATACTTGGTTTAAGAAAGTTTTGGCTAAAGGCCTCATGGTTGGAGAAGTTCTGTAGGATCTGCATTGAGGGGAAATACTTGCCATGCTTTGTTCTGGCCTCTGGATTTTGGGCAGTCAACTTCTGGAACAAATGTGTAAAGATCATATTTACACCCCTCATTCTCTATGGAAAATTGTTTTGCCAGTTGGAGCAGGTGGAGTCTAAGTTTTGCTGGCTGAATACTTGTAATGCATTCTGGCTGGTTCAGGATGAACAAAAGCCTCTGTTTATATAGTAGTTGGTACTCCTGTTTACTGACAACCTTTGATTGAAATGGTGAATGCACTAGAGGACCACAGGCTGAAATAATTCCCACTATCTGAGACTTTTGCAGTACTGTCTAGCAAAGGAGTTCTTGCCTGTGGCTGAAAGACAGTCATGACAATCAACAGTTTTTGAAAGGTGTTATGTTGTTGGGAATGCCTAGACCAAGGTGCAGTTGATGTCGCCCAGGAATAGCATGCTTCTAAATATACAGCAGTGTTGGGTAAAATGTTCTTAAGCTTCCCTAATATGTTGAATGCTGGCCTCAATAATTCAACCTAGTTAAGTTATGTTTAACTTATATTTTACTAGGCTATTGAACTAAATCTCTCGTTCCAAGCTTAGAGAAATGCCAAAAATGTCACTCTTCTTCCAACAGTGTCTAGTTAACATTGTCTGGATTCTCCTGTTCTAGCATTCTTCAAGTAATGCCTGTTTGTTTAAGAAATGTCTTTTTAAAAAAAAGTTGTGGAAGCTATTTTAAAAACAACTTTAGGACAAATTTGGTGTTCATGTTAATTTTAACAGTAAAATATAAATATAACTACCGTATATACTCGATCATAAGCTGGTTCGTTTATAAGCCGACCCCCCCAGGATGGATAAGTAAAAATGGAAAATTTTTATGACCCGTTCATAAGCCGACCCTATAATTCAGGGGTCAGCAAACTTTGGCTCCTGAGCCATCAGGATAAGCTGCTGGTGGGCCAAGATGGTTTGTTTACCTCCAACGTTTGCAGTCACAGAGGTAAACCTAAGTAAACAAAGTGTCCCTGTGTGCCAGCTGCTTACCCTGACGGGCCGGGACAGCAACTGGTGGGGAAATTTTTTGGGGGGGAAAAGCTGGGGGTCAGGGGAGTAACCCCTGTGACCACCTCCCACATGACTCCACCCCTAGCCCGAGACCCCCACACTTTCCCCATCCCTTCCCACTTTGCCTGGAGAGGGCCAGGGGAGGATGTCTCTGGCCTGGCTGGAGCTGCTCCAGCAGGCTGGGCCGGGCGGCGCGGCCGCGCAGCCTGCTCCAGCAGGCCGGGCGGTTGCTTCGGAGGCTTGGGGGAGAACAACGTGGCCGGAAGCGGAGAGACTCTGGCCCCGCCTCTTCCCTTCTGGCTCTGCTGACTGTGCTGCCTCTCCTTGCTCCCTCTGTTGGGGGGGAGGGACTGTGTCCCACCTCTCCCTCTCTATACCCGTTCATAAGTCGACCCCCCTTCTCTGGTACTTCCCTTTTTTACTAAAAAATATTCGGCTTATGAACGAGTATATATGGCTGTATGTTCACATCAAAAAGCCCTGTTCATAACAGATATCTGTG